TTCATTATAGAGCCAGCGAAGACAGTTGTTGATAAAGGTCTGCAACAGGCTGTTGGAAATATTCTTTGTGACCCGCTGCCAAGTTTCTGATCCGTATAGAAGAACTGACTGACTTGACATTTATATTAAAAATCCGAATTTTGTTGTTGATGCTGAGTGACAAAGATTTCCAGATTGGTTTCAGATCGATGAATGTGTTTCTCGCCTTTCCGATTCTCGATTTGACATCTTCGTCCGTTCCTCCTGTAGCTGAGACAATGCTCCCTAGATAAGTGAATGAAGTAACCTCTTTCAAATCCCTCCCGTTGATGGTGATTGGCACTGGATGTTGCTGTTGCTGTTGTTGTTGTTGTTGGTTGGTTATTTTCGTAACCTCCGTCTTGTCTATGTTCACCTGGATTCCTGTCTTCGCTGCTTCTTCGACCAGTTTGTTGGTTTTCGCTTGTGAATCTTCGATTTTGTGTGACATCAAACATAAATCATCCACGTGCGAAATCCAGGTCTTCTAGGTTCTTCACGTCGGTCCAGGATATCCCTGTCTTCTCGTTTCCCACTGTCTGACGCATAATCCAGTCCACCACAATTAGGAATATTATTGGTGATAATAAGCACGCTTGTCTGACTCCTGTGTTTACTCCAAACGCCTCGACTAACGTTGCTCAACTAGGAAGGCGATTTCTTGGTATGCACAACACACGTGTCCAAGCCGTCTCCACCAATGTTGCTTCACAACCTCATCGATTGACTTCCCTTCTTTTCCTTGCACTCAACGTGCTTAACTTCAACATTACTTACCGTATTATACTATTTAATTCGGGAGACAGAACGCAAATATATATAAATGGTCAAAGATAACTCTAACCTTCTAATATCTTCCACTGTGAATGATTATGTCTCACGGCCATTCAGGAGGACATGCGACTGATTTAAAGTTTATATTGCTGTTATAATATCAGCCTGTCTGCCTGCTGCTGCTGACAGGAGGAATATATGTGAAATAATAAATAGATTACTGGATTGATCACGGGCTGACATCAGTTAGGGAACTGTTGGAAAAGCTTGGAGTACTGGAGAGCCAGCTGTTTCGTCCCAGTCTGGGACTCTTCTTCATCGATGTGACCCGACCGGGATTCGAACCCAGGATCTCCAGTGTCACGAGCGGCGGCTAAACAGATTACTACTAGTGTTTCTACTATTATCCAGTCAAATCCACTTTGACTGTTGACTACTGGTTTTTTCATTTATGTTTTGTTTCTTTATTATTATTAGTTGTAGGTAATTCTTTGTCTACTTTATTTTTGTTATGATTTTTAAAACTGTGTCTCTAGACACGTGATAATTCGATATATAAAGAACACTAATCATCATCATCAACAACAACTGATTATCCTTATTCTTATTTTTATCATTATTATTCTTATTCTTATTATTACTGTTATTTGTCTTCTCTTCAATTCCTGTGTGTTCAACACTCTGACATTTTGATTCGTTACTTCATATTTTGTTCTTTCTATCTCTCAGTCTCTCAGTGTAGGCTTTGTTTCTGCCTACCTTTTTTGTTTATTATTCCATCTTTCTTTATCTCAGTGATGTGCGCGCGCGCCCGCGCATACTATATATGCATGCATGTCGCGTGTATCCTTCTTTGTATGCCTGGGTATTTCTGTTTTTTGTTTTTTTTTTTGTTGTTGTTGTATTAACTGTTCAAATGTGAATGACCTTCATTTGTTGCTGTTGGTGATGGTTATAGTTGTAGTATTGTTATTGTCATGTGAATCACACACTGCATATGCTAGGCACATGATTACCTAATAAGAATTTGTATGATTTAACCAAAAATATATATAAATATATACATACATCATTGAGACCTTGATAATTTATACCAATACCTTCACATTTCTGTGAAAAAATTTTCACATTGAGACAATTTAAGTATTGAACAACTACCTTCCCCCCCGCCCACCTACCTCGCCATCCTCACCTAGACACAGTTGACGAAATCTGTTCATATATATGTAGGAGACATGATTGTGTCTCCAGTTTTGATGCAATGTGGTAGTAAGTATGTTTGAAAGCTAGCTAAGCGTGTGTACGTGTGTTGCGTAGCTGTGTAAGCTCAGTGGGTCCACTCTCATGAAGGTTAATCAATCTCATGCGAGTAGTGAGTGTAACGGTTCTTATTGTAGCTCTCTACTGGTCTACCCATTGGATTATGACTTTGACGAATACTTGTTTTGTCAACCTTGTTATAATTATTATCACGTGTTGACGTCAGTTAGAGAACCAGTGGGAACCAGAAAAGAGTACTAGACAAGTGTTTCATCCTGGTTTGGGGCTTTCCGACAGTACGCCCTCACCGGGATTCGAACACGAGACATTCCGGTTACAAGGCGAGCTCGTGGACCGTTTAGCCACTGGAACCCGACCCTTGAGTTTCAAATTATGCCAATTCGAGATATATATACAGCGCCACCGTCAGTCAATGTTGTAGGCGCGAGTAACTGACCTCTTATCTGACTTTGTAGACTCCAGTTAACTCCCTGTATCGAGCCAGTCCCTAGTGAATGTCAGATTAATTGTCAACTGTTGGTTTGCTGGTATTTGATCGCTGGCTGACATCAGTTAGGGAACCATCAAAATCCAAGGGGGAGTACTGTGGACAGCTGTTTCGTCCTAGTTGGTGACCCTTCGGTAGTGCGCCTCCTTTAAATTCTAACCACTTTCGATTCGTGATTTTAAGCTCGACCACCAGCCAATATCATCGGCGAGTTGACAGAATTTAGAGTTTATTGGGTCAACCAATTAGATTCCCTCCAATGTGCCTGGAATGCTCAACCAGCTCGCCTTGATAGATCTCTGGAGTCCCAAACTGCAAAGGGTAACAGAGGTGTCCAGTACTTCCTGATGGTTTTCATTGGTTCCCTCTAAGCGATATTAATCCGCCATCAAATTGGAAACAAATCAGATCGAAACCCATAAACTAAAACGCTTGTAAAATTGTCATCAGCTTTATATGAGAGAAAATTATGCATGTGTGGAGTGTATAAACTAACTAACTAACTAACTAACTAACTGTCAATCAATGGGGCTTAATTTGTAATCAGTTGTAATCAATTTTTTCTCTTGATAAAATGTGACATGATAAGGTGATCATCAGTGTATATTGACATGTTGTGTTGTGTTGTGTAGTAATTGTTCTACTATTAATATAACCAAAACTCTGGAATTGATTTCAGACTTTCTAACCTTTCATTTTTATTAATTGACCGTCATAATTGCATGTGTAACAATACATTAATCAGAATGTGTTTTCTTTCGAGAACCGCTGGAGGAGAAGGAGGGTGGCTGGCTGGGTGATGGTACAATTTATCAAAACCTTTGATTTCATCTCCGAAGAAGAAGAAGGAAAAAAAGAACAATATTAGTTATTGGATGGAGGATTTCGTCATGAGCTGACATCAGTTAGAGAACCATTGGAAAACCTGCAGGGAGTACTGGACTACTGTTTCGTCCTAGTTTGGGACTCGTCATCAGTACGTACCCAACGGGGTTTGAACCCAGGACCTTCTGGTTACAAGATTAGCGAGCTCGTGGACCACTGGGCCCTTGGGTGCGTACTGCTGAAGAGTCCCAAACTAGGAGGAAGCAGTTGGCTGTCCAGTACTCCCAGGTTTTCCAATGGTTCTCTAACTGATGTCAGCTCATGATGAAATCTACCATCCAATCAAGCAAAAACCCCTGCAAAACCAATACTTGAAAACAATCTTAAGTCATTATTAATGGTGATTTGGTTCATGATATTTCATTTTTACATAAATAATAACACAACTTGTTTTAATTTTTACTATGTGTGTCTATACATTTTGATTTGAACTAACTAACCAAAAGTTTTATCATTTTATTATTATTTCAATTCTCCTTTGATTTATTTATTCTAATCTTTAAATAGTTGCAGCTCATTCTTTGGGTTCAGCAGTAGCTGCTGCTGCCGCTGCGGGTGGTGGTGGTGGTTCCTCTTATCCAAGAGATAATAAAGGTCGTCATCGAAGTGGTAGTTCCATGTCCTCTGAAATTGGACAATATTCTATGCATATTTTGCGAGAGAATTATAATTCACCAACTACTACTACTAATACTACTAATAATGCCTATTTGGAGTCAATATCATCAACTTATCCTGGCCGATGTAGCTCTTTTAGTGGTGGTAGCTGTATGAGTAATATACTGAATAAAACAGCTGTTACCTCTGGTGTTGGTGTTGGTGCCTGTGGTGGTGGTGTTGGTAGTTTGTCTATATCCAATCAAAAACAAGCCATGTCCAGTAGTACTGGAGCTACATCGAAATCGGTACTATTAGGCGGACGATTGCCTGGAATCTATCAAAATATACCTTCTCATAAATCCAGTAGGTGTTATTATCATTATCATTATTATTGTTTTTATTTTTATTGTCGTTTGTGTCTTTTATCACTGCGTTTTGTACTCGTTTTCTGTTGTGTGTTTTTTTACCGCCTTTTTTGTCATCGGTTCGGTTTGGTTTGGTTTGGTTTCATTTTTATTCCTTTTGCGTAATTAACTTTTGTGTGCGCGTGTCTGTGTAAGCAGGGGTTCCTTCGAAACACACAGAAAGGGATGATTAAACCTAAAGACTGAAAAACTGACTGAATCCCATGTCGTTTTCTACTTTTACATTCTTCAACACCCTTCAAATTTTTTTCTTTGTAGATGTCCTATGGGATAATTTTGAATCGGAGACTAATACTAACACACTTGAACAACAGCAACAGCAACAACAACAACAGCATTACTTTTCATCGAATTGGCCATGGTCACCACCGATGAATACAGGTGGTGGTATTGGTGGGATAAGTGAAACAGACAATGATATGAACAACTTTTTAGATCAATGTCAAATGCCTCTAGTCGGTGGTGTTGCCAGTTCATCGTCTATTGGTCTGCGGGATGATACAAGTCGTGATAGTGGATTAGTTCTTGACATGACTATGCCACCGACATCACCACTTGATGAACAAAGTAAGCATTGTTTTTCTTTTGTTTTCATTTATTGTTTTCCTGTTTGTTCTATGTGTTCACTGAGTCACTTCCACCGTTTTCGATGAGCAATATTAGCTGACTGACATTAACTGGTTAGATGATGGGGAGAGAGTGAAATGGTAGAACGTGTTGACCACTTCACTTGTTCAGGAAGTTGCAATATATATATATATATAGCACACAAGGTAAGTAATGTTGACGTTAGGCGTAGAGTGTTGAGCAAAGAGGGAAAATCAATCGACGAGGCTATAAAGTTGCATAGATTGAGATGGCTAGGTCACGTGCAGCGCATGCCTAACCATCGCCTCCCCCACTCCGACGGGCATTACTAGCTAATATAGGTGCAGGTTGGAAAAGAGTAAGTGGTGGCTAAACGAAAACATGGCCTCATCAATCCATGAAATATCTGACAGTAAAACTGAGTCAGGTAGGGAGGTGCAGACTTCCGGGTTGGGGCCCGCCCTCGGGACTCTAGGAATCAATGACTGGAGACAATAGGTGACATGGCTCAAAATCGTTGTCAATGGCTTATGCAGATGTATTCGGTCTCTGTAATCTTCAGTCTCGTATTCCTTTCTACCATTACTCATTCCGTTTCACTCTTATACTTGTCAAAACTCTATTGATTCTCTTCACTCATCCATCTTCTTGTTTACCTTTGTGTGGTATTTGGAATGTGGCAACTCGAACTGCTGCACTTGGGTGCCAAGTTCTATGTTAAATCCAGACAGACAGACAGATCAGTGACTGCTAGCCAGCCTTTTCATGTGTCCTGCTTTCAATGGCCATATCTCACTAGCAGCCATAAACGGGAGGATTGAGTGAACTACTAGTGAGCAGTAGCATACACGTCCTTTGGTCGATAACCACCTGCTAGATATCACGTCTTCTAAGCCAGATATGATGTCAACTGGCAAAACATCAGACAAGTCTTTTATATCCGTTTTGAGATTTCATCAGCAATAAGTCGATTGGATTTGGCGAGATGGTCAACATTGTCTACCACTTCACTCTCTTTAAGCTAGAAGTCAGTATAGTCTAGTCCTCTGGCATCATCTTACATTTGACAGAAGCAAGCTGCATGCCAAATATTCGAAGATTTCTGCTCAAGGTGCTCAGAAGACTGCATTTTTTCATGTTTCATCACTACTAGGTCATCTTGAGGTCAGATGACGCAATTGTCTATTGTTGCTCTACACAACTTAACCTATGTCTTATGATTATAGCGATTCAGTTGTTCCAGAAAACCACAAGTTTGGATTTTTTTGACTTGAATTGTTTTCGTCGATGTTTCATTTGCTTTTAGTAGTTAGGTTAGGTTAGGTTATATATCTTCGTGTTATTCTATTTGTATACAAAGGAGCATTGACACGTGACTATTAGGATCCCTATACTCTTTCTCTCTCTTTTTCTCTGCGTGTCATCGATTGAAAAATTTATGGGCGTATCGAAAAATTGAGTTTTTTCTTCTCTCTCTCTCTCTCTGCCTAGAATTTGTTTTTATTTATCTATTCATACAATTGATGAGATGATGATATGATTAGCAATAGGAAGAGTAGTGTAGAGTTATTCTAGGCCATTCCCATGTGTGTCTGTCTTGTTTCTGAGGTCTGTGTTTTTGTTAATTGCATAACTTCATTACCACTGCTACTGACAACATGCGTCTCACCTACTCTCTTCTCACACTGACACACACGGTCATATGTTGCAGGGCATCCATCCATGCATGCATGCACGCACAAATGCGAGATCCTGTGATTAGACTTATTTTTTCACCTCTCTCTATGCTTCTATCTCACACCCTCTCTTCTCTTATCTTATCTGCATATCAGATCATTTCAAGTATGGAATGGCTTTTTGTTGTGTTTGTGTGGTTTTTTTTCGCGGATACACACCAAACGCTTACGATATCTACTCAACTCTTTTTTTATTTCTCTCCCCCCCTCTCCCTCACTCTTTCTATCTCTTCTCTGGGTACAATGTAAAAGTACATTCGAATATATATATATATATATATATATATATATATTGTTTATTGAAATTTAAGTTCCCTGAATACATTCCTCCCTGGATATATACTAGTTTTGAACAAGGCTGTTATCATTTCTAGTGTCATTGGGTCTCAATCCCCCCTTATCTGAATTAATTATGTTTTTGTTTTAATTTTAGATTTTCCCGTCGATTGATTGATTGGACCGAAGTGCTCGGTCTCAGGTTGATGTGTGCAGATGCTTCGACGATGTCTGAGCATTTAATTAGAATTTAATTGGTGGATGGTGAGAAGCAGTGGAATCCAGGATAGCGCGCATTTCGTTCTATTTAGGACTTGCCCATAGTTTCAAACGCCAAACGTCCCAAATAGGACGAAATGCGCTTTATCCTGGATTCTACTGCTAGTCACCATCCATCCACCAATTACATTTCAATTAAATGCCCAGACATCGTCGAAGCATCTGCACAAGAAGCCAACAGACATGTCAACCTGAGAACGAGCACTTCGTGCCAATCAATCGACGGGAAAATCTAAAATTCAATTAAATAATTAATATGACCCATTGCACTAGAGGTGGCCAGCTCTCGTGGCCCAAGTGGTCTAGTGGATAACACTTTGGTGTTTGGAACTATGGTCACTGGGTTCGAGCCTCGGTGGGAACATCACTCACTGGGAAATGCAGGCACATCCAGTTAGCTGACGAGTCCAAAACAGGACGAAATGCGCCTTGTCTTGGATTCCACTGCTAGACACCATCCACCATTTGAATTAATTATGGCCTAGTAGTCCATTCTAATAAACTACAAGGATGATAACAAGAAACCAGGGTCAACGATACCTGTAAGTAATAACCATGCCTCCTGGACTTTAAGGTGATTTTCAAGTAATTCCTAAATTCAATTTAGTAGATAGTGACTATCAGTGGACTCCAGGATAAAGCGCATATCGTCCTACTGTTTGGGACTTGCTCGTCAGCTGAATGTACCTGCATTCCCCAGTGAGTGATTTCGTCCCCACTGTGGCTCGAACCCAGTGGCCGTCACTCAGTGGGGTATGCAGGTATATCCAGATGACGAGTCCCAAGTAGAACGAGGTGCGCATCCTGGATTCCACTGTTAGTCATCACCGAAGCATCTGTACAAGAAGCCGACATGTCAACCTGAGACCGAGCATTTCGGTCCAATCAATCGGCGGGAAAATGTAAAACTGAATTAAATAATTTCCAAATTCCCATTTACGCATTTAGGAAAATACAACAAATTGGTTGGTTCCTCATCGTCACCAGCTCTACACTAATATACATTTTTTTTAACGTCAAAACTCACTTTATTAATCAAGTGGTTATCTTAGTTAATCGGTTTACGTATGGGGAGGATGGTCGGTTTTCGACATAGAACTTTGCACATATGTGCGGCAGTTCAAGTCGCCACACTCCATGTAGCACTTAAATCAAGAGAAGAAAGTAGAAGAAAGACATAATATAGACAGTAAACAGAGGTGTGAGACAAAGGAATAGTAATAACGAAGACCAAAACAGTTTCATTGGAAATCATAAGTCACAAGAAGTGGATGCATCTGCAACAGCCATTGAGAACGATTTTGAGCCATATCACCAATTGTTTCCAACCATTGGTTTTTACCGTCCCGAGGACCCCAACCAGTAAGTCTACACCTTCCTATGTGGCTTAAGCTAACTGTTGGGGATTTCATTGACTGGTGCCATGTTTTGGTTTCACCACCACTAGCTAGCTCTTTTCCAGCCTGGCCCTATATCAGCTAACATTTCCCGTAGTCGAGGAAGGCGATGACTAGGCTAGGCATACGTAGCACATGTCCCAACCATCTCAATCGACGTCACTTCACAGCCTCGTCGACTGATTTCCCCGCCTTACCTAGCACTCGACGCCTAACCTCAATATTGCTCACTGTATTATACCACTTCATACGGGAGATAGAATGCAGACACCTATGAACGGTGGGTGAAATTAAGATGTTAAAAGTCATCAAAACAGTTAACTGGTGAGTGTTACTAACATGATGGCTAAGTTGTCAAGGTGTGGTGAAACTTAATTACAGATAAGTCAAGATAAGTTAATTCTTAGGCGTTATCAACATGTTATTACATAATACATTACATAAGAAATATGTAAAATAGCAATGATGATGAGGAATAGGATGACTCAGAAGAATTACGTAAAAATGAGAATAAAAATGGAATGTATCAAGACTGAGTGTGGCAAGTTGAACTGCTGATGCACGTCTGTGCAAAGTAGTAAGTCTACGTTGAAATCAGTCGGTCAGTCAGTCAGCTTTCACACAAGTTTCTTTAACTTTAATTTCATATAACTGTTTCACTAAACACAGTGAAACGCCTACAATTCCACACCATATGGTTGAATATTAATAATAATAGTGAATTATAGATCCAGAGGTGTGAGATTAGGTTATTGTCTATATTAGAGATCCTTTTTTTGCATATATTGTTTTTACGAAGTGTATTTGTAATTTTAATTGTTTACACACAATGCATAAGTTTTAATGTGGTTAATATATTTTTAGCAAACTTTGAGATGGTGTGATCAAAGATAGTTAATTTCACTCGAAATATTATCATTACTGAGACTTAATTATTGTGTGTGTGTGTGTGTGTGTAAACAATTGTTACAAGTAGACCTTTATTGATCGATTATTCCATTCCTCCATACGACATAGACCTTTCATGTGTAGCTGTCCAGCTGAATGATGTGTAGATAATATTTGAAGTAAAATATACCGTTTTCTGTACTGTTTTTATATATTTTTTCATGAGTTGACCACGAATTGATATCAGTTAGAGAACCATTGAAAACCAGCACTGGAGTACTAGACAGCCAACTGTTTCATCCTAGCTTGAGAATCCCCCACAGTATGCACCCGCCATTGGGGTTCGAACCCAGCACCATCCTGTTACTAGGCAAGCTAACTCTTATACCATTCAGCCACTGTAGGATTATTTTTGTCCTACAGATTTAGTCCTACCTCAATACTGACGATACAGAGTCTCGGCTTAGCTATAGTTAAAAACAGGATGACTTGACTTAACTTTATCTGTTTCTAAAACATAAAATAAACCATACAATTACACCAAGAAAAATGTACAAATCCATTGTCATTACAAAAATAGGACAAAAACGTACCGAACAGTATTAAAGGTACGGACAAAATGAACAGTCAATTAATTACATGTATATACAAGTAAAGTGACAGACAAAAAAGAACACTCAAGGTCATCACGTGGTGAGAGTTACAATAAATTGGCCAATAATCGCGACAAGAAAGGTCAAATAATATTGATTGGCTGTTTATCATACAGTCTATCTATCTGTCGCGATTAACACTCCCCGCGAACGACCACCACGTTGACCTTTCGTACGCTTCTTATATCTTGTTCCACTTCTTGAGTTGAAGTTTTCAAACACAGTGTCCTGACGTGGCCATCTTGGTCATAGTACATCTGCTTAACTATAGCCTTTCGCCAGAGACCTCTCTGTGTGTCAGCACTGTTAACTAAGACGAGATCATCAGGTTGTAGGTTGTGCTTTATATCCAACCACTTAGATCTTGTTTGCAGCATCAGAAGATATCCACGTAGCCATTTATGCCAGAGCAAATCATTCAAATATTTTGGAAGTAGTTGACTATAGTGTTGGAAGAAAGCATATCCATACATAGCATTCGCTTTACCTTTGTAATATTGTAATTTTCTTAAGAATTCACCAATTGCTGAATGAGCCGCAGTTAAAGGCCTTTTTGGAACTAAGGAAATACACAAATCAGATGCATCGTCCTCACCGACTACTTTATGTGTACGTCCCATAGAATCGTCAGCTTCAATCAAAACTCGCAGAATCGCATAACGAGCAGAACAGTGTGCTTGACACCATGATACAATGTCATCAGCATTTTCTGCTGGAGAATAAAACTCCATGGAAGTTACAACTGAAGGAATCATTGACAACCAATTAATATAGACTGCATCTGGGGCATTGCCTTGAGCACAGTTGGTATTCAGACCGAACTGCTCCAGAACAAGAGGTAAATCAGACAAATGAATTCCAACGCACTCAGCTTGACACTTGTCTATTGCAGATGAAAGGTTTGAAAACTTGTCATACGTTTCTCCTGGTTCACACCAACCTTTTATAGGACCTCCATTTATGACATATTCAGTAGTTCTCGTGTAGAAATTTCGTTTTCCATAACAATCACGCCGAAACAGTTTACCTGAACCATATCCCATCAGTTCATGAAGTCCAACTTGTAATTCAAAGGAACTTTCAGCATATTCCACGTACATTTGTTTGTCTTCATTACGTAGAAATTCTGGTTTAGGATCCTCGAGACGAACACTAAGTACATTATCCAAAGGAACATTTTTAAATCCATCAACTTGTCGTACATCATCATAGTTAGGAATATTAGTTCCAACAGGAATTCCAGCAGTTGCAAACGTAACCACATCCAAACTAGTAAGGTCTGGCTGTAAGAAATTAACTTTTTCAAATGTAGAAGGCCATGGTAAATTTGTTAACAACCTTTCAGCATTATTCACAAGTCGTTGTAATTTTTTAGACACTGACCTATTTACAACAGCAACAAATGATTCAAACCTTGCACGAACACCAAAAGGAATCACGGTATGACTCTATAAAACCAATATAGTTTTCAACAACAGGGTTCTTATCTTTAACCCATAACCTGAAGGCATCTTTGTGAGTGGCTAATGAGCCAATAGTGAAGCTTTCAGCATACTGATGCCACATTTCTGATTCAATTTGGTTAAGCGAATATGCTTTAAAATCTTTACAACAATCGACTAGTAACTTCATCAGCTCACTATAGTCACCATATTCAAGCTGCAAAGGTGTGTCCGAGGGAAGGGAATCTCTTAACTTCTCACGACGTTGACTTAGAGGGATTTGCAGGTCATGGTAACGTCGGGCTAACTGTCTTTGTTTTTCTTGGGTAATGGGAGCGTCGAAATGACTTTCTGCAGCAAACATGTCAGCCTGGACTTTGAATGTATCTATACGTTCACGATGAGTAGCTACATCAGATTCAAGCAAGTTGTGCCGCTTTTGTGCGTTCATCACACTGTTTAGATCACGACCGACATCCTCTGAGGCTATATGAGCTTCAACATCATTCAACCATAACTCGACATCTACGTTACGAGCGAACTGTTGTTGCCTACTTGCTTGATCTAAATTTTTCTTCTTGTGTCCCATGACATTTACGAGATGAGACCAAGTTTCATCCAACTGTTCAATCTTTACTTTTATTTCTGGCGAGTGAGAGTTACAATAAATTGGCCAATAATCGCGACAAGAAAGGTCAAATAACATTGATTGGCTGTTTATCATACAGTCTATCTATCTGTCGCGATTAACAGCCACTGGGACCCGATTCAGTGCCCAGTCATGTGTTCTAACTTCTACTCACCAATGTCGTCGGTGGGACATCCATCCTCACACGTGACATCTGGATGGATCTCACTGGTCACGAATTCTCACTAGAAGTGTAGGAAACTCCATCCTTTAGCAAGTCAGTCACTAGCGAGCATCAGATTAAATTTCTATAGTTTATGCACTTTAACCTCATCAACCAGATTCTAACTATATTACCTTGGGTTGGTCCGTGGAATGATGCAGACTGAATTCTATCAGTCAAATTTGCAATTCTGTCACCAGGCTGGGTGAGAGTATCACCACCGTGAATGCAGTCAGCAGGTAGGTAGCCCTGGTCCTTGTTGATACTCGTGAAGTAAGGCGAATAGCCTGCAGTCTTAATTAAAGGAATTCTTGCTGCCTTTAACCATATTGTATTTTAAAATACTGTTGTGATTATCATACACATATATGAGTAATTCCTATCTTACATTGCATTTATCTTTCACTGCCTCCCTCCCATTTCACCTCTTGTAATTCAAGGAATTCATGGTTTGCTTGCATCCTCTAACTTCCACACAACATATTATTTCGTACTGTTTAATGACGAATTGACATAAGTTTAGAGTCCATCAGGGGGTTGGTCATTGCATTTCATCTCAGTGGCTAAATGCTGAAAGAGCTCGCCTGGTAAACCCGAAGATCCTAAGTTAGATCTCTTGTGGTTGAATTGTGGGGGGTGGGGGGAAAGCATACTGATGAAGAGCTCCAGACTGGGACAAAACAGTTATCCTTATGGTTTCCAGGGGTCCACCTTGAAATAAATCAAGGAACTCCCGTTAGATTATTGGGGAGTGTGAGGCAACAGGAGTAAGTTGGACGGATAAGACTCTAGAAGGTCTGGTCTTTGCGGACGATTAATGTTCAGTGTTATACTACAAATTCCCAGATCTACTGGCGAAAATCAACAAACTGACAGACGAAGCAGGCAAAGAAGACAAGACTTCAGGTGAACATTGATAAGACGGAGGTAATGAAGATAACCAACCAACCAACCAACAACAAACAGCACCAATAAACTATCAAGGGAATAAATTTGAAGGAAGTCAATCCCTTTACTTATTTAGAAAGCATCGTTTCATCTACAGGCGGAACAGTTGAAGACATCAAAGCAATTATTCGCGAGGCATGACACAGACCTTCATCACTCTAAAACCAGTTTGGAAATCTTCTGAACTCAGTGTAAAGAACAAGATTCGGACTTCCAACACCAATGTTAAGTCAATTCTCTTATTATGGATCAGAAACTTATCGCGCGTGTCATGAAAATCATTTCCAACAGACTATACTGTTCACTGTTTATCACTGGTTCAACATTGAAGATCAAATAGTGGCTAGGAAAAATTAGAAGCAAGAAATTGTTCGAGTGAATATCAGTCGATAACCACCTATTGCTCAGCAAATGTTCCGAAGAAAAAATGGAGGTCGATTCGGACATACGCTGAGGAGACCGTTTAACGACATTGCGCGCGCACGATGAAACCTAGATGGGAAACGACGAGTTTGACTTCCGAAGATGACACGGAGGAGATTGTGTGAGGAGGAAATGTAGGCATATATGAGCAGTCGTGTGGAGCCAGCGGAAGAGGATCGTATAGAACAGTAGGGTGAAATGAAGATGTCCTTTCGAAGTCATAAATTCCACTGGGAACCTAAGGGAATTAGGATAATAAAAATACCGAATTGAAATTAATTTTCACATAACACTGAATGAGGAAGTGTAATGTTCTAAAAGTTTTACAGGTTTTTGAGTAGTCTTCATTTTCAATTGTGCAGCAGGTCGGGTGTGAAGGCAAATACTTGCCGAAGACATTGGCTAGTGATCGCGATATGTCGTGAATCGGCAAAAGTTAGAATTCATGGGCTATTGGATTGGGTTCTAGGGGCTTAATGGTCAATGAGTTAGCTCACCTTGTGACCAGAAGGTCCTGGGTTCGAACCCCGCGACGTGGGTGCGTACTGCTGAAAAGTCCCGAACTAGGATGAAACAGGTGTCCAGTACTCCGTGGTGGTTTTCCAATGGTTCTCTAACTAATGTCAGCTCATGATGAAATCCTGTAACCTATGAATCAAATCCCTACAAATTAACACCTAAATTTTATGTTTATTTATTGTGTTTATTTAACCTCTTGTCTCTTATTTTTAAATTTTGTTTCAAAGATTGCGGTGGATATTTAAGCGGCAATCTGGACTCGGACTTATTATCACAATTGACTCAGTCAACAACATCACAACATCATCGTATTTCATCTTCTGGTCTTTTCGACGATATACAACATTCTGGGTGTTGTTCAAGATTTTCACAAGATGTTTTTCATTCCCCATCAGATGATGGTTTTCTTTCAACACATTCGGCATCAGAAGATCAAGATCACCCCAGCAGCCATCATCATCCTCACCATCATTCTATGTTAATTACTGGTGGTAGTGGTCAGACAAATGTAGATTGTTCATCATTGCCAAACTCGTATGAGTCGAATTCTATGAATATATTTGGCACAGGAAATAACAATAATAATAATAATAATCAAGATATGAAGAATATTCACATGCATTCATTTCTAGACTCGATTACTTCACGAGCAGATGGTCTACAGTCGACTAGTAGTTATTTACAACAACAAAGTATCCTACAGTCTGGTCATTTAATGAAATCTACTCGACAAAAAAGTGGTGGTAGTAGTAGTACTAGTGGTTGGCCATCGTCAAGTTTTTCTGATGAAATTGGTGGACATCGGCATAGTTCGCCTATATCCTCTCCAATATTAATGAATAATAGTAATATTAACAATAATAATAATAATAACAATAATAGCAATAATAATGCTAGTGCTAATCGATTTTCTTCAGTTGTTGGCACACCGTTGGGGGGAGGAGGAGGAGGTGGACGTGCCAGTCATCCAGCTGGTGTAGATTTCAACACATCTGGACTAGCTAGTAGTAGTGCTAGCAGTGGGTCTACATGTGCTGGTACTTTCGGTGCAATTGGATCTCGTGTACTTCATTCATTGGTTAGTGATATTATTGTGTGTATATTCCTTAACTTTTTTGTATTTATATTCCATGTTTGATTTGTTTTTTTTGTTTTGTTTTTTAACTTTTGGGATATTTCAATAGTTTAGAAAATAAGGGAAGCATGTCTGGCGAAGTTCAACAATAGCGTCCTCCGGAGTGGGGGCGCTCTAATGACCTTGAACGCATATGTTAGTCGTTCGTTGGCTAACGGCACCTGTCATTATCATAGCTGAAATATCAACGCTATTATTCACCAACTTAGGAGCAAATTTCACCCAGGTCACGTCTTTAAGTACTTTTTGGACAATGTGTTAATAGATCGTTAGGGTTAGGATCAGGGTTATAATCAGCATTAGGGCTAGAATTACGGTTTGGTTAAGGGTTGTGATTAGGGTTAGTATTAAGGTTAGGATTACGACTAGGGATAGATTTGTAGTTGATGTCATTCATTTTAATTTGTTTTATTATCCACGTTTTCCTGGTGAGTAGCTGTCGATCCTCTTACTGGAAACCATAGTAATTCAACCGAGGGCTTTTGGAGAAGACTGCACGTGAAGATAAGAGAGATAAACAGCTCATATTCAATCACCTCGGTGAATACATGTAGAGAAACTAGTCTACCTTAGCAACTGATACTCCTCGTTATAACTAGGACGTATTTTTAAGCCATGTCAGAGAAAGATAACCTGTTTAATGCGTTTTCAAGAATTTTCTTGTCAATATACATCTTTTTTTTTTGAGCAACCATTCCTCATTTTCATGATTGGTCAGCTGAAGGTCACTCGTTGGTTCGCACTCTTGGGATGCTATTGTTGAACTTTACCTAGACTGATTGGATTGATTGACTGACTGGTTGGGTGGTTTCAACATAGAACGACTTCACGCAGAAGTGTATCAGTTCAACTCACCACCACACACTCCATGTATAGCACACAAAGATGAACAAAAGAGGAAATAGGAGAGATTCAAATGAGAGATAAGCTGAGAGAAGTTTGAGGGAGAAAGAATAATAATATGGAAAAAAATAGGGATTTTATTGGATATGATAGGTCACAAAAAGTGAATGTATCTGCGCTAGCCATTGAGAAAACTATTTTGAGCCATATCGCCGATTGTCTCCAGCCTTCAATGGTTTGGTTCTTAGCATCCCTGAGGACTACAACCAAGAAGCCTACACCTCTTTATGTGGCTGGCTCAAACTAACTGTCAAATATTTCATAGACCGATACCAGGCTTTGGTTTGACCACCAACCTGATCAATCCTATGTGAGCTTACCTTACCGAATTCTTTTTTATTGCTTTACGTTCCCAGTGGAACATAGGGCTTCTAGCTAGAGGCTTCAGGTTTCTGTAGCAGTGTTCATTTTTACAGGATGAGGTTGCTAGCCTCATGTCCAACCTTTCCTCTTTACCAGCTTTTATTTCTGACTTAGCGAGGTAAAGGAGTGCGTCCGTGGCCGGGGACCGAACCCCGGACCATGTTCATGGTCGGCGAGCATCCTAACCACTGTACTTATTTCTCAATCTGTTGATGCTTCCCTCCTCTATCGTCTACCGCACTCACATAAGATAATAATATTAATATTATTATTTCGTAGTCTATACATAATAAAGATCTATTTTGAACTTTTATTCCACCAATATAGTAGTATATGCATCAACATGTTTTAAACTATTGTTTTCGTTGTTATTATTCCGGTTAAAAATCTACTTTGTTGTTTTGTTACAATTTTTAAACGAAAAGAATGATCGTTATTTATAATCATAATAATAATAATAAAAATAATGCATAGGTGGTCATGTGATTTTTCTGTCACAAGGTCATCTTTGTATATATCTATCTATCCAATGTACTTCAACGAATTGTTGTTTGTTATTCTCGCTCTCTCACTCTCTCTCTCTCTCTACATCCATGTGATATATAAAAAATAGGCAAATTTGATTGGTCTATTTTATAATGCGTTAAAAGTGCGTGTGTATGATACTTTTATTATATTATAGTAGGGACGAAGAGAGAGAAAAGTAAATGTACTTTATTTATTTATATCTTGATTTATCGATTCATTAAGTTAGGTTGACTTTGAGATTTTCGATTTTTTTAGCTATGACATTGATTTTTATTTATTTATTTATTGAAATTTTGATGAAGAAAAAATGGAAGCCGATCAATTAGAGTTTAAGGTTTTAACGTCAATCAAGGTATATGTATGGCAAGGGGATTTTCTTTAAAAAGACTAATCTTTCCATTATTGCTTTTTATATATCTCAATATCATGAAATCAAATCAGGGTTGGCCACCACTGAATTGGTTGGTTTAATGATTGTTTAGATCTTGGATATTGATATTGTGATGCCTCTAATTCTCTGAACTACAAATCTTAGTTGTGGAGTTGGTTGGCCATTTTTTTTTTAATAATAATAATAATTTGCTTTATTCCAAAACAGTACTTGTGATACAGAATGGAATTCTCAGCATTTTTACTACAGTATTGCATCCAGTTAGTACATTGTCAATAAATAGAATTCTACATAGATTGAGGAAACCAACAGTTCATTATTACAACAATACATTGGCATGTTCAGTAGCAAAGGTAAAGCTGAAACAGTGTTTGAAGGTGTTAGAAAAGTGGGAGCTGTCTTATTAACTGGCGTAAGCGAGAGAAACAGACAAAGCAGCACATAACGGAAAAAGAAGAGAGAGAAAAGGAACAGAAAGAAAGGAAATGTTGAACCTATTGATGAAGTGGGTTGGAAAGATGAGATCCAGTTGTACTAATGACTATTTAATGAATTATAGGTGTCACGCCTAATGCTTTCTTTATCACACAGAACGCGAGCTAAGTAGGGTATGGTTGAGTTTTTGTACTTGCTGGTGCGAGCATATAGTTTTCTATATTGGCTTCTTGTTTTACCTGATGAGATGCAAGGGGAGAGTTGTGAGTGAAGAGGGTGGTGTGAGTTAGATAGAATGGATTTGGCCCATTTTTCACATGAGTCCATGTGCCTGTCAACCAGAATATTAACAAGCTGGTTAAGTGGCACGTTGCTTACCCTGCTGACAACATTTAGCATCCTGCGTGATATGTTATAGTCTCTCTTCAGTAGCCCGGGAAAAACTAAGGGGGAAGAATAGAGAATAATAGGCAGGATGCGAGAATTAACGAATTGTAGGAGTAAGGGTTGGGTAATACCAGAATGTTTTAACTTCTTGATGTAGAAGGCAAGACGGAATATTTTCTTAGAAATTGCTAAGATATGAGACGACCAGGAGAGATCAGCAGATAGAATGACACCTAGGTATTTAATTTCCGATTTAGTTTCTATTTCAGTGCCGTCTATGTTGCACACCTGGTGAGAGCCAAACAGTTTGTTTAGGTCGGATTTATGCCTAAAGGTGAAATTGACTGTTTGGCATTTGGAAGCGTTTAGAGTAAGACCATTTTCCTTGGACCACTGGCTGATTTCTGACAGAAAGCCATTAAGTTTAGAGCAGTCGCTTTGACAGACAGATCGTCAGCGTATTTGACAAAATTAATGTCATTTGAAGATGGTAAGTCATGTAGAAAGAAAGAAAAGAGAAGTGGGGAGAGTACAGCGCCTTGGGGGACTCCGGCTTCAGTGAGTGCAGCAGAGGATGATTTACCTTTGTATACGGTGTACTGCTTTCTGTTAGAGAAGTAGGAATGCAACCAGTTAGTGACCCAGGACTCAGTTTTCGTCAAAGAGAGCTTATTTAGAAGGAGACATCTAGGAACAGAGTCGAAAGCAGAAGTGAAGTCAAGAAACGTGCAGCGGACGTATTTAGCACCTTTATCTAATGATGAGACGATGTTGTTGTGTAAGACAGCTGCAGCGTCTAATGTACTCCTACCCTGTCTATAGGCAAATTGTTTTGGGTCTTCGAATTTTTTAAGGGAGGGTTCGAGTTTAAGAAGTATTAGTTTTTCCATAAGCTTTAGGAACGGGGAAGTGATGGCAATGGGTCTGAACTTTACGTTCTTGCCGTTTCCAGGTTTAGGGACAGGGACAATTTTGATGTCTTTCCATGCATCAGGTACGATATTTTTGGAGAAAGAGGCATTTAGGATGTTGGTTAGTGGAGAACACAACACATCTGCACATTGTTTTAGAACATAGGCAGGTATACCATCAGGACCTAGGCTACGTGAGGGCTTGAGTGTTTTAAGACATTTTAGAACATCGAGAGTATTAAAGTCATGAAAGTTTTCAGCTACATGATAGGTAACATTAGAAGTAGTTAAAGTAGAAGGACAGCGTATAAAAGACTGATTAAGAGCATTAACATCATAAGAGGGAAAAGTATTACAACGCTTACTATTACCAGTAATTTCATTAAAAAGTTTCCACATACTGATTGGAGATTTACATGATAAAAGTGTATCATTATAGATAGCATTAAGATTTTTGATTTCAGATTTGATCTGAGCATTAATCTTTTTGAGTCCTAACTTGTCTTTGGATTTGTACAAAGTTTCTTTTTTCCTGCGAAGTTGTTTGAGATAAGGAGATGAGAAGCGGTCGAGACGTTTGAATAGAGTTTGTTTGGGACAGCATATATCAAGGCAAAACTTGAGATAATCCGTTATATTGACGATTGTGTCATCTAATGAAGTTTCATGGAATAAATCCCAGTTAGTATTATTTAACATGCACCTTAGATTGAGTAAGTTTTCGGATGAGTAGCATCTTTGTTGTGCTTTCATAGACAGATGTGAGAAGACTTTGATATGTGTTTTGCTGTATATTTTTGGTAGAACACGAACAATAGAGTGATCAGAGTTGAGGATCGGTGCACGTTTACCTGCTTCATAGATTCCTTCGTCATTTGTAAAAACTAAATCCAGTGTTTTTTCTAGTCGAGTGGGAAATTTGACAATGTTAGAGTGACCAAGTGCTTCAAGGAAGGAGCAATCTGACGAGTTGAAGTCCCCAGTAATAACAGATAGAGAGTTGTCGAAGTTGGCGGCGGCGAACATGGTGAATTCATCAGCAAAATTTGAAAGATTAGATAGTGAGCTTATTTCTTTGTTCATCATTCATAGTTCTCGTTCGCTGGTGTTTACCATTATATGTCTTGGATTGTGTGGTATGTATTCGAATAGGACATGGGCTTTATCAAAGCGGTAACTCTGAAGAATTGCAGCCCAAACCGAAACTACCTAGCGAATGGACAAATGACCTTGACAAGGACAACTTCGACCAATCAGAAGGCTCAAAAAACGGTGCATAATTGTAATAAATCTCTTATATATAAGTAATGCAATGTTTAAAAAAATAGTTATAAAGGACAGCGTTCTCGTATATGTTCCAAAAATCTGCCAATTTCTCATAGGAGTCTTGCTTCTCATGTTAAACCAAGTCCTGTAGATAAACTCATCGAGATAACTGCATATCATTGCATTTCTTGATCCATTCACAGATCTGATACGTATTTTAGGTGACTCCAGAAACTTTCGATGGAATTAGTGTGACTTCCATCAAAAGGATTGAGAAAACCATTTGTATGGTTGAAGACTTAATGAATATAGCCTAGATTCTATAACTGACTATAACTACTCCATTCATCTGTATGAATAGTCGTCCCAGGTAGTACTAAGCGCTGGATAATAGGCAATAATACACCTGCACTGCGATTAGGGATCACCTCAATATATCCTTTATGGAGGTTGCTGTCATATATCCCCAATACCTATTGCTGATTTGCACTCAACCTCCCTCGATTATATTTTCTTTTTATCAAAAGTACCTAAGGAATCTGTAAATTAAAAACGAACGACATACGTTCTCGAACTGATTTTCTGGTTCGGCACTCATTTTACCAACAAACAAACCCATCGATACATCTATTTTATCTTTACATATGAATGACACCTCCATATCGGTAATTTTTCGACATTCCTATCAGTCCGTTCTCCAAACAGTAATCGAAAACAAGATCTGGAGAGAATTTGCAACGCAAAAGGTATAAAGCACCCATAAATACGTCTGGGATATACGCAGTCACCTGATTGGCTGCTCAAGGTCATTTATCCGTTCGTGAGGTATTTTCGGTTTGGGCTGCTATTCTTTAGAGTTGCCATCGAAGCAGTTATATAAAAAAGGTGGGAAACGTGATATTATGTGGTATTATCAGAGAATATCTTGAATATGGTGGGGAGGAGGGGGGTGGGGTGGAAAGTGGTATCATATTTGTGTTTCATCTTCGTGGGATGCACATAAATCCGTGTTTATAAGTGTACACGTATTAATTGAATGATGAGGAATGCATCAAGATTGTTTTCGGTTAGATATGCCTACTGGCCTCCCCATTTTGTTTAATTTTACCACGGTAGATGTACTAGTTGACTTTAGCAATCAGGGGGTAATCTTTTCGACTGTGAGTATGTGGATGATATTGTTCTCCTAGATGAAGACCCTGACAAAATGCAGAGCATACTGAACATCGTGAGGAGAAATCTTCGAATATTTTGAGACACATGGCTAATGCACGTGTTACCACTTCTTTGTTGACCAATGTTAGCCGACACAGGACTGCATTGGAAATGAGTTAGGGTCGAAGTTAAAGATAGTATCATAGCCAAAGTCAAGGTCTTTCAAAAGTTCACCTTCAAGGACCGATCATACACAATGAAATGCTATGAAATGTCATTCCAAGTCAAAATGTGCCTCCCATTTGGGACTTGGAGAGGATAGATACAGTATTCTACTTACTTACACTAGGTACTTTTTCTGGAAATCTATACTTTTAGGTTTAAGGTCAAGATTAAGGTTGGAATTAGGAATAAAGTTAGGAACAGGAGCTAGAATTATGGTCAGAGTTAAGAGTAGGTTAAGGAACAGTGTCAGAAATATCAATAGATCTCCAAGTATCATGACCTACAGTCACCTGGATGAATGGGTATATCACACAGGGTACGATTTCTCTATAGATCATCTGTGCATTGGCTGGGAGACATTCTTACAATACATAAGCTACAAACATACAGTGTAATATCTAGAATTTTCCAACGGTTATGCGACTTTTCTGCATCTGAATTCTGCTTGGTTGTCCAAGGTCACTGTGGTTTTGCCTATGACAGTTTAACTTTGCCGAGTTAGGTGTGCTCAAATTTAAACGTGGCATCAATCTATGAAGTCTTTGACAATTGGTTAGAGTAAGCCACTTAGAAAGGTGTAGACTGTTTAGTTGTGCTTTTCGAGCCACTGAGGACCAAATGGTGTTAGAATATATTGGTGTTATGGATCGCAGATCTGTTATGTCCATACAGTTTTGTCTATTCTCTACTTATTTCAAATTTTTTTCCCTCCACTTTTGTCGCCTAAATGAGGGGGGGGGGGTGGCAACTTGAACCTATTGTCTTTTATGCAAAGTTTTATGTGTCGAGTAGTGCTCATTCTTTCAGTCGGTTAAAGCAAGCAACAAATGTTTTAACAAAACAGAATTGAATGGATTCATCAAATTCCAGCAGGACTTCAAGTATTAGCTTGCAGGGATTTGGTTGATTGGTTACACGATTTCATGATGAGCTGACATTGGTTAGAGAACTATTGGAAAACCACCACGGAGTACTGGACAGCTGTTTCGTCCTAGTTTGGGACTCTTCCTCAGTACGTACCCAGAATTCATGGGCCATTGAATCAGGTCCCAGTGGCTTAATTGTCTACGAGCTAGCTCGTCTTGTAACCAGAAGGTCCTGGGTTCAAACCCCGTGACGTGGGTGCGTGCTGTTGAAGAGTCCCAATTTAGGACGAAACGGCTGTCCAGTACTCCCAGGTTTTCCAATGTTTCTCTAACTAATGTCAGTTCGTGATGAAATCCTGTAACCAATTCAGCAGGACTTCTTAGCCTGTATGTTCTAAATACAGTGCTATGAAAAATACATAAAGAGATTCTGTGGCTACAATAAATAAGCTACAGTAATTCAATCGCAGCATCATTTATTAACATTTTATATAGATAAAGTATAAGTACCTTAAAGTAAAATCCGAGGAAGGTATAATTAAAAATCATACTGTTCGCTTATATGTTGTTTTAATGTTTACTTTCGTAATGTAATCCATTTTACTATGTCACTCAACAACCACTGACATTTTCATGCGTCTGACAAGCAGCCACACCTATTGTATGAATGCTAACGTTATTGCCTGACTGAAAAAACACCCTCGGCAGGTGGAATTGGGGTATGAACCCTCGACCTAGTGGTTGGAGGTCGAGCACCTGGAATAAATGAACCTCAGCTCCCCATTTCTATTATCACTGTGTGAAGCAGAATATTCAGCTGAGGTGTCATACCGAAATTAAATCCTGTATTTGTTTCAACTTGATTATTGAGAAGTAAGTGTCACCTTATGATACTGCAAGCACAGGAGTTAATAACTGCTGGGCCGTGTTAGTGGTTTAATAGTAGAATGCGCACCAACCACACACACAGAGCCCGAGCTCGACTCCCAGCCGATAGAGGCACTCCTAAACCTTGCATTGCCCATCCCCACCCCCAAGCTGCTTTCGATAACTTACACCATCTCTGGTGTAGGCGTGACATCCGACTATCAACCAAAGGACGTGTGTACTGCTCACCAGTTCGCTCCGTCCTTCTCTATGGCTGGCTCTGAAACATGGCCAATACGAGTTGAAGACATGAAAAGGTTGACTGTTTTTGATCATAGATGTCTACAATCTCTTTCTCACGTTAGGTGGTATAATAAGGTAAGTAATGTTGACGTTAGGCGTAGAGTGTTGAGCAAAGAGGGAAAATCAATCGACGAGGCTATAAAGTTGCATAGATTGAGATGGCTAGGTCACGTTCTGCGCATGCCTAACCACCGCCTCCCCCACTCCGACGGGCATTACTAGCTGATATAGTTGCAGGTTGGAAAAGAGTAAGTGGTGGCTAAACAAAAACATGGCCTCATCAATCCATGAAATCTCTGACAGTAAAACTGAGTCAGGTAGGGAGGTGCAGACTTCCGGGTTGGGGCCCGCCCTCGGGACTCTAGGAATCAATGACTGGAGACAATAGGTGACATGGCTCAAAATCGTTGTCAATGGCTTATGCAGATGTATTCAGTCTCTGTAATCTTCAGTCTCATATTCCTTTCTACCATTACTCATTCCGTTTCACTCTTATACTTGTCAAAACTCTATTGATTCTCTTCACTCATCTTCTTGTCTACCTTTGTGTGGTATTTGGAACGTGGCAACTGGAACTTCTGCACTTCGGTGCCAAGTTCTATGTTGAATCCAGACAGACAGGCAGAGTTTGGGGTGTCTACTTTGTCAACTAACTAGTGTATAGTTTTAATTTCTAACCTTTGTTTCTGATCAATATTATCGATCATATATTGTTAGTAGCTGCTACAGAATGAACAGTCTTCTTTTTAATTTCCCCTTTTTTAATCTGTGTAGACATCAGAAACAACAGGTCAATCGGATAATAGTCAGTTAACTAGACCACAACAATGTTCAGAATGTTCAACTCAGGGTGGTGGTGCTGGTTCTGGTGTCTGTGGTGGTGGTGGTGGTCATCATCATATGCCGTCTTCAACTTCATCTCCAATACAAATTGATTCTGGTGCTGCTGCTGCAACTGGTGGCAGAACAAGCTCTAGGATTTTCTCTTCTCATTCAATAAATGAGAATTTCTCCAATTTACCGCAATCACCTATTCTCCTTTCGTCACCGTTTAGTAATCCAGGTTGTGATCTAGAGCGGTTAACACTACGCCGAGAATTAGATGAAATTCGACAACGTTTAGATTCAGTAAGTGATTTTTTGTTTTGTTTTTTTTCGAAAAAATTCTTTTTTTTTCTCCTGATGTTCATGTTTTCATTTGTTGTGCTGCTGGTGTGTTCATTACCTCTTTCATGAGTGCTAAATTCAAGTTGGATCACAAACTGAGAAGAAGAGGAGAGGTCCACCAAGTGTTGTGGGTTTGTGAGTACAAGTCATTCATCGATGGCGTTGGCGGTCGGTCGGGCTACAGTCGCGAATTGACGGGAGTTATTATTGATGGGCGATTGGATTCCGTCGTCCTAGTGGTCAAGGGGGTGGTCAGCGATCTCATTTAGTAACCTGAAGAGTCTGCGTTCGATCCCTGCTAGTGTGGTCTTGTGTGCGTACTTCTGAAGAGTCCCAAACTAGGACGAAATAACCGCCCAGTACTTCTCTACGGGTTTTCAATAGTTGTCTAACTGAAGTCAGTTCGTAATCAGACTTCAAAGCAGGTTAAATCAATACTTAAAAGTTCACTATTCACTATCTTACTCAAGTGTTCTCCTAAGATTGAAGTAAGCTGTCTGCCAAAAGCGATCGTCTGGCACCATATTATATGTGTTTTGGTATGAAAGGTAGTGTGTCTTCACGATTGCCTATAAGCCTTCATCCTCTCTTCACATGATCTCCTCCACGTCACCCTTGGATGCCTACCAACTGGTCTTTTCTTATTCGGGTTCTAGTCGAGGTCCTGTTGTTTGATGTTATTCAACGGTCTCCTTAGCGTATTATATCCAATGCATCTCCATTTTCTTCTGCAGATTTGTTGGGCGATAGGTTCTTGATTGGTTGAGTGCCTACCAGCCAACCATCTGATCTGATCAAAAACAGTTGTTACTGTGATACGTTAGTAATTATGGTCTGCAGTGAATGCCTTTACACAGTCTAGGGACCTCTTTTTTTCACCATGATATCCCTTGTTTTTTTTCGTCAATTTCAGCTTACGTATGCTTAAATTGTATTCGGTTTGAAGCATATCTTACTAAAGTAGTTTTTAGTAAGTAGGCCTGTAATTTTCAGACAAATGTTCCGCACAAGGAGTTAGTGGTTTATGAAGCCGCATTGTTGTCTTCTATTGGTTGCTAAAGCGAGGTGCACTGGAGGTGTGATAGTTCATTTAAAAGTGTCCATCAACAGACGTTTATAATGTGATGACCGGAAGTTCTTTGCTTGTATAATTGTCATAAATACAGAAATAGTATGATGATTAATTGAGACTTATGGTGCTTTAGAAAATTGTCAATACGTCGGTGAATCAGCGGTGGGATGGTTGCTTACCAGTCAGTCAAACGCGAAAGGTTCGGGTTCATATCCATGCCGACACACTCCTTAACCTCGCCTAGTCTACTTGGCCGTAGTAACGCAGAAAAAGGAGGAAGTTTGAGCCCTGAAGGCAACATCACGGCCACTGAACCTTCGAAATTCAAAGTCCTATGTCCTACTCGGAATGCCAAGAATGGGAAAGAAAACAGCATGACTTAGGAGTTTCAAGTTCACGGCCTGCCTCTTGAAAGAGTATGTTTTCAGCAGTCCGTTTGTAGGGATTTGATTAGTGTCAAGTTCAACCACGGATTGATATCAGTTAGAGGTGCCACTGAAAGCCAGAAGGTAGTACTGGATAGAGCTGTTTTGCCCCAGTTTTGGACTCGTCATCAGTGTGTACCCACCTGATCTACGAGCTTGACTTGTAATTGGAAGGTCCCTGGTTAGAACCGCGACTGGTGCGTGCTGTCGATGAATCCCAAACTGGGACGAAATAGTTAGCTGTCCAGCACTCTAGTACTTTCACTTTTGATGGTTCTCTGACTGATATCAATCCGTGGTCAAGGGAATTTCATTTATCGTGTGGCTTAAAATGTCTTGTAATTTTCACTGTGTCATTTTGTTAATTGTTTTCAATATTTCTTTCTTATTAGTAATAGGAATAGTTTGAATTTCGTGCTGCTTTTTTTCACATTCCTCTCATTCTTGGTTGTTTTTGTTGTTATTGTTTCTCCATTTACAGAAGGAAGGTGAAGTTGAAGTATTGAAAAAGCAAAGAGATTTTGTTGCAGAGCATTTACGTGATTCCCTTGGTGTAATACGTCAATTATTTCATTCATTGAATATCTCATCGACTGCATCAGCTGACTTATTCAAACCTCTGTTTATTGATACAGAAACCGGTATGAGTAGTGATCAAAGTACTGGTGGTGGTGGTGGTGGTGGTGGTTATTGTCCACAAAGTTTATCATCCGAATCAAATCCATGCGAAAAATTTAAAACATGCATGCAGCTGTCACCAATGATGATGATGACAAGTCCTAGTCCAAGTGGTCCTATTGATTCATTTGGTGGTATTAGTGGACGTACTCAATCACAGCAACAGCAACAACAAGAAGCACTAACAGCTCTGTTCAGTAATCCACTTGTATCAGCTCTTTTAAACAGTCAAACGGATATCAGTGGAATAGATGGTGGTTCAAAGATGAAATCGGAAACACAGGTCAGTCAGTTAGAGTGGTTAACTGTTGTCCCCATTTTATCTCTGTATCTCTCGCTCGCTCTGTACTTATTGGTTTTGGTATATTTCAATTTTTGTCGAGTGCTGATGTCATTTAGAGGGAATACTGGATAGCTGTTTCATTCTAGTTTGGGAATTTGTCCCTGTCTGGATTCAACATAGAACTTGGCACCGAAGTGCAGCAGTTCCAGTTGCCACGTTCCAAATACCACACAAAGATAGACAAGAAGATGAGTGAAGAGAATCAATAGAGTTTTGACAAGTATAAGAGTGAAATGGAATGAGTAATGGTAGAAAGGAATATGAGACTGAAGATTACAGAGACTGAATACATCTGCATAAGCCATTGACAACGATTTTGAGCCACGTCACCTATTGTCTCCAGTTATTGATTCCTAGAGTCCCGAGGGCGGGCCCCAACCCGGAAGTCTGCATCTCCCTCCCTACCTGACTCAGTTTAACTGTCAGAGATTTCATGGATTGATGAGGCCATGTTTTTGTTTAGCCACCACTTACTCTTTTCCAACCTGCAACTATATCAGCTAGTAATGCCCGTCGGAGTGGGGGAGGCGATGGTTAGGCATGCGCAGAACGTGACCTAGTCATCTCAATCAATCTTCGATTGATTTACCCTCTTTGCCCAACACTCCACGCCTAACGTCAACGTTACTTACCTTATTATGCCACCTAAAGTGAGAAAGAGATTGTAGACATCTATGATCAAAAACAGTCAACCTTTTCATGTCTTCAACTCGTATTGGCCATGTTTCAGAGCCAGCCATAGAGAAGGACGGAGCGAACTGGTGAGCAGTACACACATCCCTTGGTTGATAGTCGGATGTCACGTCAACGACAGAGATGGTGTAAGTTAGTGAAAGCAGCTCGAGTCTTTTGGATCGGTGCTGAGATTTCGTTGCCAATCAGTCTGTTGGTGCTGATACAACTTCCCAAATAGGTGTGAAGTGGTCAACATAATTTGGGAATCATCGGCAGTACGCTGTGGCTGAATGATGTACGAGCTTGCTTGTAACCGGAATGTCCTGAGTTCGAACCCCAGTGGTTGCGTTCTGCAAATGATTGCCAAACTAGACTTAGGAACCAGCTGTCCAGTACTCCCTGGTTGTTTTCAGTGATTCTCTAACTGACATCAATCCATGATCAACTGGTAAAAACAAAAGTAATCCTTACAAACCAACTATAGCAAATAAGAAAATAAGCTTGTTTATGCTGAATCGCCTTATTTAGTCGTATCAAACATAACATATATACAAAGTAGGAAAATGGATCCACTTTTCTTTGTTGAAATCTGTATACTATCTTTCTCACCTGGTCAAAAATGTATAAACACGAATTCTGGTTGTTTTATTCCTTTTCTTTTCTTTTTTGTTCTCGAACGCGATTGATTGCTTATCCAAAAAATAGTTTATACTATCCGGTAGTTGTGCGTACACATATACCACACAAGTCGTTGTATCCGTCGTTGTTACCTGAAAGTTTCACTACAAAATTCAAATGGGGGGGGGGCTGCTCTAGCTGAGTGGTTTTAATTTGTTTGGTGTTTTTTCAGACTGGTCATTATCACTACCATCATCAAAAAGAAACAACTGTGTGATAAAGAGAAGATCTTAGATGGTTGGAGGTAATCGGCCACAGAAAGCTTTGCTTGATTTAGGTTTCGTGCTAGTTGGCAGGTATCTGCAACCTTGAAGGAACCAGTGTTCTTTCTGAGATTCGAACCCGCATCACCCAGTGTTGCCTGCAATCAGAGATGTTACCAGTGAACTATTCGGGCTCGTGATTGACCTCCTGTAGAACTGACTGCATTGGATAGATAACCTTTGATTGGACTCTATCTAATTAGTAACTAGTGTAATTAATGTGTCTATTCCTTTGTTTAGTGCAGACTGAGTTCTATCAGTGGCGCATGGGTTCGAATCTCAGAGCGGACATGAGTGTTCTTTCAAGGTGGTTACAGATGCATCTGGCTGGCGAGTGTCAACTAGCACGAAATCTAAGTCGAGCAAGGCTTCCTGCTTTTCGCCTTCAACCATCTCTAATATCAACAATTCAAAGAGCAGTGTGATGACGAGCAGCCACCTAGTAGTAGTGGCGTGGTGGCCACATTGCACACTTGACTGACAGAATTCAGTCTGTATCAAACAAAAATGGCCTACAGGCCTATTAGACTGGTTACTGACTACTGTCCAATCAAAGCTCAGATATGTTATCTTTTCTAAATTTTTCGTCTATCCCTTTGGTGGAACCAATGAAACAGTAATGCGTGTATGTTGATTGGCTGTTGTGTAATCAGTTTACTTTTGGCATTATATTTCTTAACCTCGTCTTCATAGCAGTATACGCAGTATATGGAGCTATGAAACTCCAGAGATGTTTTCACTCTGTCCACTGACACCTGTTACCGTTTTCATTCGACATGCAACCACTAGGGATTCCCGGGTTCCATCTCTACTCCGTCTATTTCAAATCTAGCCAACTGGGTAGTATGATCGACGCATACACACATAAACACAAACGCAATGAGGGGTGCTCATAGTTGGATAACTATTTAATTTGTGGATGGTGACTAGCAGTGGAATCCAGGATAAAGCGCATTTCGTCCTATTTGGGACTCGTCAGCTAGGGAATGTACCTGCATTTCCCAGTGAGTGATGATGTTCCCACCACTGGGGCTCGAACTCAGTGCTCAAAGTTTCAGACGCCAAAGCGTTACCCATTAGACCACTTGGTCCACGACAGCTAGCCACCTCTTGTACAACGGATCATATTGATTATTTAATTCAGTTTTTTAGATTTTCCCGTCGATTGATTGATTGGACCGAAGTGCTCGGTCTCGGGTTGATGAGTCCCAAATAGGACGAAATGCGCGTTATCCTGGATTATTCCACTGCTAGTCACCACCCATCCACCAATTAAATTATAATTAAATGCCTAAACATTGTCGAAGCATCTGCATAAGAAGCCAACAGACATGTCAACCTGAGACCGAGCACTTCGGTCCAATCAATCGACGGGAAAATCTAGAATTCAATTAAATTAGATAACTATTGCTTATCATGTTTGTAATACCGTGTGGCTATGCTACACCAAGATAACTGGATGACTAATGTTTACATAGACTTGCGCTATTTCCATGAATAGCAGACACACACGACAACGGCACATGTCAAGTGATCTACAACGGAAAACTCAGCGAGGCGTTTGGAGTAAACACAGGAGTCAGACAAGGGTGCTTATTATCACCAATGATATTCCTAATTGTGGTGGACTGGATTATGCGTCAGATAGTGGGAAACGAGAAGACAGGGATTTCCTGGACCGACGTGAAGAACCTAGAAGACCTGGATTTCGCGGATGATTTATGTCTGATGTCACACAAAATCGAAGACTTACAAGCGAAAACCGCCAAACTGGTCGAAGAAGCAGCCAGAGAAGACAGGACTCCATGTGAACATAGACAAGATGGAGGTTATGAAAATAACCAACCAATAACAACAACAACAGCATCAGCAACATCCAGCGCCAATCACCATCAACGGGAGGGATTTGAAAGAGGTTACTTCATTCACTTATCTAGGGAGCATTGTCTCAACTACAGGCGCACGGAACGGACGAGGATATCAAATCGAGAATCGGGAAGGTGAGAAACACATTCATCAACCTGAAACCAATCTGGAAATCTTCGTCACTCAGCCTGCATCAACAGCAAAATTCGGATTTTAAATACAAACGTCAAGTCAGTCAGTTCTTCTATACGGATCAGAAACTTGGCAGCGGGTCACAAAGAATATTTCCAACAGCCTGTTGCAGACCTTTATCAACAACTGTCTTCGCTCTATACTGAAGATCAATCAGATGGCCGGAAAGAATCACCAACAATAAACTATGGGAACAAAGAAAACAAGCAGCAATCGCTCAACAAATAAGCAGGAGAAAGTGGAGATGGATGGATTGGACACTCGCTGAGGAGGCCGCTGGGTGACATCGCGCATCAGGCCCTCGAGTGGGACGTCAGTGCTAGGGTGACATGGAGGAGATCGTGTGAAGAGGAGCTGAGACAGTATGGATTAACATGGACGCATGTGAAAAGTACAGCAGAAGACAGAAGCAAGTGGAGACGTGCAGTTGAAGCCCTATGTTCCACTAGGAACCCAAAGGAACAATGATAATAATAATACACTTAGTGATAATAATGTGACTTATTGTGCCGTTACTTATTTAACATGAACTACATTCAAATGCTCACGTATTATATATTGACGGTTGTGCAGTTTGTCGTTCAATGGTGGGAATGATTGCCAACCATGTGCGTGTGGTCTGGGTTCGATCCCTGACCGACTCAGTCCCCCTCTCGGTACTTAAAATTCAAAGCTCACTGAGAGAAACACAAAGCAGTTGAGAGAAATATTGATTGTGTATATATTTACCAGTATTATATTAGTACAGGATAAATCCGTTCACCTTTTTTTTAATTGTTGATTTCACCTTATTTCTGAATACAACTCTGTGTTTTTTGTTTTTATATTCCACATGATTTTCATTCTGTGTTTTAATACAATGGAAAGACACTGAGAGGTTGTGTGTGTGTGTGTGTGTGTGACAGAGGGAGAGATAGAGAGTGAGGAAAGATAAAATTCTCTCACATTACCCCTAATATGTATGATTGATGATTTATTTTTCACTTGTAAGAAATATACTTTATAAGTACTTTACACATGTTTGTTTTACGCGTGCGCGTGCGTGCGTGCGTGTGTACGTGCTTTGGCGTGATGTACTTTCTTTTAATGGATAAGGACATAGTGTGTGTGTGTGTGTGTGTGCGTGTTACCTTAGTTACAGTTTATCTTTAACTTATTGTGTGATTTTTTCCTTTCTCCGTATGTATTTGCTGTTGATTTGTTTTCGCTAGCCAGAACAGAATGACGTGTGTCAGTCACAGAATTAGTACTTCTTGCTTCTCACAAAACACAACATCTCACTGGCATTGATTTCCATTTTTTTGTTTTCCCTTTACTTTCTGAGAGAGGAACACAGAACTTCAAGTTTGAGCTTTGGAGTTCCAGTGGCTGGCTGGCTGGCTGGCCGTGATGGGGTAGCTAGTCTGATGCCCAACTTCCCCTCTCTTACATGACTGGAGTATTATAAACTGTTAGCCTAAAGATAGGGAGTGAAGTGGTAGAGCGTCTTGAACAACTTCGCTTATTGTTTGGGAAGTCGTATAGGCGCCAACCTGTCTGATCGCCAAAGAAATCTCAGCACGGATGATATAGTTGGGGTTGGGTTGGAGAACAGCTAGTGGTGGTCAAACTAAAGCCTTGCATCGCGATCCGTGAATTCTTTGACAGTTGTTAGTTTAAGCCAACCATGTAATGTGATGTAGACTGCCTGGTTTTGACCCTTGGGATTCTAAGACCCAGAGGGTGGAGACTATTGGTGATATTGTTCAAAGTCATTCTGAATGGCGTAGATGCATTATTCACTCTCTGTGATGTGTCATCCATTAAACTATATTGCTTTCGCATGTTACTATTCTTTCTCCCTCACACTTATGATTCTTTCGAATCTCTTCTTTTCCTCTTTTGTTCATCTTTGTGAGCTATATGGAGTGTGGCAAGTTGAACTTCTACACCTGTGTGCAAAGTAGCTCTACGTTGAAACCAGTCAGTCAATCCTTTTCTACCGGGTTTACTGCTGCCTAAGCGAAGTTTAAGATTGCGTTGGGTTTGGATCCACCTGGGACCACTTGGATGATTAGAATCACCGGTGCACAATTATCCACTGCTATAGGCGCGAATAATAATTTATGCTGTAATATATACTAGGATATGCAGGAAAGTCGAATGACTTCTATTGTCAAACGATAAGTCTAAAACTGAGAGATAACCAATATCTTTACATTGAACTTCTTTTTTATATTCAAGCTTGTAGCTTTCTAACATTATGATTGTAAAGTCTGTTGGGTGGTTAATGAATGCCATACTGTGGAACGCTTAAATTCCTCACAGGGAAAAGATTTTATTCCCTCATTGAATTCATCCAATGAAGCTGTTTATTCTCAGTACTAGTCTGAGGTTAGTTAGTATTCACTTACCTGGAGAATATCTAATTTTTATTTGGTTACAGGATTCCATCATGAGCTGCCATATGTGAGAGAACCAATGGAAAACCTGTAGGGAGTACTGGACAACTGTTTCATCGTAGTTTAGGACTGTTCAACAGTATGCACCCACATCGCGGGGGTCGAACCCAGGACCTTCTGGTTACAAGGCAAGCTCGTAGACCATTAAGCCACTGGGACCCTATCCAATGGCCCATGAATTGGCAGAGGTTAGAATCCATGAACTGGCCATTGGATCGGGTCCCAGTGACTCAATAGTCTACGAGCTCGCCTTGTAACCAGAAGGTCTTGGGTTCGAACTCCTTGTCGGTGGATACCAATACTTGAATAATTTTTATTTGTTAAACAGTGAGACTTGTTGTACAAGTGTTGATGATGATGATGAGATTTCAGGGGGGAGGGTGTATCAGGATTTGAACTGGGGACGAAGCACTTGCTGTGAAAGTCAATACCCTTTAGCCTGAAATGCATACACTATAGCATTCTGTTTTCTATCTTGTCGTTTGTTTTATAATGTGTTTCTTTTCGCACTGAAAATATTCCCTTAGGTGTCTATATTAGAAATGATGTCATTGTTTGTCGTCGATACCCTCGCTTTCTATCTGTTGTTATTTGGGTTTGTAGTGTTGTAACACCCCAGAATACAATTATATTTTCTATATTGTTTCATTGAGGATCTTTTATTTCTCCTCTTCGTAGCTTAATCCATCACTCCATTGGTCATAATTCTTGCAATAGAAGACTACATACTGTTGTTAGTAGGCAGAAGAAATGCTACGACCTTATACTCTTGTGTTTTTATAGTTCTTTCTTTTCCAAGTGAAATAGTACTGTGTAGTGTTTCTTTTCTTGGTTAATTTATTGATCATATACATGGTTGAGATGTACATGTCGTTATCCGATGAATAATGGTCTGTTGCATGGGGTCATTTATGTGTGTATATATTTTTTTTCCAGGAGTTGTTGTGTAAGGAATAGTTTTGTTTTTCGAGTTCGACCGCAGGTTGATATCAGTTAAAGAACCATTGAAAACCAGCACTGGACAGTACGCACGAATTGGTAGAAGTTAGAATTCATGGACTGACTATTGAGTCGGGTCCCAGTGACTTGCCTTGTAACTGAAAGAAAGGCCTTGTGTCCGAACCCCGGCAGTGGGTACGTGGGTACGATGAGTCCCAGACTAGGACGAAACAGTTGGCTGTCCAGTACTCCTTTCTGGTTTCCAATGGTTTTCTAACATATACATATATATATGTATGTATATATATGATGACACAACTTACGTTTCTTCTGTAAAAGATGTGTGACATGAACACATGCCTGTCTTGCATAACATCACTGTCGTCAAAAGTTCTTCTCAAATTCTTGACCATTATAATCGTGTCACTTTTTTCATTCTTTTGTTTTCTAAGTAGGATAATAGGGTTTCAAGCTGTAAAGTTTCAGTAACGGTGGTGTTGTATTCCACACCCCGCTTTCCCTCTTTTCCAAACTTACTACTAGGTGAGGTTTAGCAGTGCATCGGTTGGGAATGGAGCTGCGAAACCTCCGTATCGCTAGCGCACATCCTACCTTTGGACCACCCGCACATTCCTGTGTTATTATTATTATTATTTAATTTCATGTGTTACATTTCTTCATGAACCACTGTAAACTAGTGTGGGGAGTACTGAACAGTTGCTTCGTCCTGTTTCAGGACTTTCCATTGATGCGCAGCCATGACTCCACCGTCAGAGGTCGAACCAATAGACCTTTGAGTCACTTAACCACCTGGGATTCATTGACCCGTGAATTCTAACTTTGTCAATTCGTGGTTGCAAAGAGGGAGCTATTCTAACCACAATGCCTTCGATGAACATCCACTTCACCTTGATGAAGTCTGCCAGTTGAAATTGAAATTACTCCAAATTCCCACAAATCCCATAATATTAATATAATTTTCAGGTATTGGTTTTTGTAGGGATTTAGTTTGACTGGTGGGAGGATTTCATCATGAGCTGACATCAGTTAGAGAACCATTGGAAAACCAACAGGGGGAGTACTGGACAACTGCCCTATTCAGGCAGTTAGCCTGGGGTTCTAGTAGTGAGAAGCCGTGACCAGTAGGATCCAGCAGGTTGACGCATTAGTAACTCATTGAAGAAGACATTGTGAAGTGGTCGCGCTATGTCATGATGAATTGGCTGGCAGAAGTTAGAATTCACGAACTGGGCGTTGGGTCGGGTGGGTCCCAGTTTCTGGCTTAATGATCTACGAGTTAGCTCGCCCCTTGTAACCAGGAGGAGGTCCTGGGTTCGAACACCGGTGGGTGCTTATTATATGATTATTATTATTATTTTCGCTATTAATCAATAAGTTTTGTTTTGTTGTCTATGCCACACATATCATCATCGTCTACTGTTGCAAGAGAGAGAGGATTATTTTGTTTATATTAATTGTTTTTTTTTTTTTTTTGGTTTAAAAATGTAATTTTAGTTTCCTAATTGGAATCCATTGGAGAATTATACGCTGGAACATCAGTCATCTGGGCATAGATCATCTAAGCAGTTATCGAATAATAACAATAATAATGATAATGATAATCCGCCTTATTCACCAACTCGTCTTCATACTGATGATTCTGATGATGATGGTGGTGATGATGCTGCTGCTGATGACGACGACGACGATTTATTCTCCGCCTCTGGCTTATTATCATTGTCCAATCAAGAATCGTGTGAATTAGAACGATCGACAGACACTAATGAGGACGAGGATAATAGCAACAACAACAACAACAACAATACTGGATCAATACACCACGATAAAGTCACGAATGCAAACGCTACAAACTCTGAGGTCATCTCAACCAGTTGTTGTGGCAATGAGTCTTCTTCTACTTCGACAACTGAACAAGCTGAACAATCTTGTCAAGCTACTAGTACAACAACAACAACAACAACTACTACTACTACTACTACGACTGGTGCTTCTGCTACCGCTGTTGCCGCTGCAATCGCTGCCAGTACTTCATTATTGCATAATTTGTCTACAGATAATAATAATAATAATAATAATAATAATAATAATAATAATAATAATGGTGACAAGAACCAATGTCAGCCATCATCATCGTCATCACCACCGCCGAAAATGTCTACTGCAATTATTGAAGCCGAACAGTCTACATAAAGTGTGTATACTACTACTGTCTTCTTTTACCAAATCGTTTTTGTTATCGTCAATCATGCGAGCGAGAGAGAAAGTATTACGTGTATGTACTATGATTCGATTTTTGTTTTGTGCTTATGTGCGTTTGTGCGCGCTTTATTCTCTAGGCTTTTTGTGTCTTGGTTGAATATATTGATTGTCCGTGTGTGTGTGTGTGCATATGCGTGGGCGTGGATACTTTATTTATGGATTGTTGAGAAACACACGAACCAAGGCGAGACGAGATGAGGCGAGAGAAGACAAATTGAGATCAGATGAAATCAGATTAAGAGAACAATTTTTACTCAAAACACACATGCACACACCCACAAAAAAGAGGAGAAAAGATTCAGATTTATAATTACTATTATTATTATTATTTTATGTTTCTTAATTTCATATTAGTGAAATATTCTATTCATTTTATCATTATTACTATTATTGTTATTATTATTATTACTATTACTACCATTCTTATCATTATGTCATTGTATTGATATAAATTATCTAGGTGTTCATCTGGCATATATACACACACACTTACACATACATGAGAATACACACCACATTTAATAATTAGTCTGTTGAACAATTTAACTAATCCCCTTCACAACAACAGCCAACCATCTTTGTCCCCCTTCCTCTCCTCTTATACACCACTGTCTGACTATTTCTTCCTTTCTTTCATGTATGTACGACAGGATTTTGTCGTCACCGTTTACATTATCTATATATTATCATGATTATTATTATTATTATAGTCCATTGTTATGCAGACGGAAAGCTGCTGACACAGAAAAAGGACAGTTTCTGCTTTTGTGTTTTTATTATTATTTCCCATTTCTTTCACTCCACCACACCACACCACAGTCACTAGCAGCAGCCTGCACTCCATCTTTAAATAACCAGCCAGCCAGCCATCCATCTCTTTATGCTTCTTTGTCAGTCATGTGTCCTTTCTACTACTAGTATTGTTGCTTGCTTTAGTTTGTTTATTTGTTCGGTTTCTGGTCGTCTTGTGACTGGCTGCTGTGCTGTCGTCGTGTTGTGGAACATCCGTGAGTGTGTTTGTGTGTGTATGAATGGTTCATTGGATTAGTGTGGATCACTGACTCACTACATACAGTCTTAGATAGTTATTATTATTATTATTTTTATTATGAATATTATGTGATTGAGCATTATTCATCACATCTAGTTCACTGTACATGTGTTGTATTTTACAATGGATATAACTAATTCCTCAATTATATATAGGAGAAGGTTAGGCTTTTGTGGATAAGAAAACCCTGATTAGCTGTTGTTTATTTCTTATTTTCTTATCATGTCCCTCCTTCGTTTTGCTGCTTCCCCTTCTTCTTCTTCTTCATCTTCTTGCCCCATACCCCCACCCATACACACATCTACTGCTTTAATGACCTTTTTAAAAGTGTACGCTTTAATAGTTATTTCTATTTCATCACAAAAAAAAATTTACGCCAGCTAATGTGTCTTTAAGTGTCAATGAATTTGTGTGTGTGTGTGTGTGTGTTGATGAGTTGAGGTACCGTTGTTGTTAGCGCCAAAAAGAACCTGTTATTGTTGTTAATGTCTTTAGATGACTCTTTGTTGTAAAGTCGTTCTTTAACCCACTCTCTTTGTTGACTGGCTTTATATCTATTGTGTTTATTTTGTAATTCTCCATACAGGTACACTTTGCGTGCAAGTCATGCAAGCGTACCTGCCTGCCTACATACATACATACATAGTTAAGAACTACTTATTTCTAGGTTATTAGTAGTAGTATATGCACATAAATACATATATTTATGGGGGCTTTTTTAAAAAATAATTGTTTATTCCATTGCTTTTGAGATGACTTTTAACACACTCCTCTGTCTCTCTGCCTCCTTTTCTCTCAGCTGGTAGTGGTTTCTGGTGTGTGTGTGTTTAGTCTTCTATTAGTGTTATTTTCTATCCATTTTATCGCTTAGTCAATTATTATTATTATTATTATTACTATTATTAAAGATTAGTTATTATGTGTTTTTCTTCACTGGCGTGTGTAATTTTTTGACGGTTGTCAAATATTCTCACATATATTTTAAAAATGCGCTCAAATTAGCGTGATTTTTATTATTACACACTAGTTCTCTAGTAGCAGTAATTAATGATTAGTTATGATAGTTGTTTCGTATACACACACACACACAAACATGCGCGCATAGTTGTAATTGTGTTGTGTGATACACGGACTTGTATGTGGTGTATTGCTGTGTCATTCACTGTCACTCACTCACTCGTTGACTGACTCACAGCTTCTCTTTTCTCCTATTCTAGTATTCTACGTCTTATGTCGTCGTCTACACTGAATGAATGAATGGATGAATACCAGTCAGTTATATGTGTGTGTACACGTGGAATGCTTTGCTGTTTAAAAAAAAAATTAAATGAACACTCTTCGTTCATTATGTCTAAAGTATCAGAAATGTATTACTCATTACACAAACACACGTACATACAAAAAAGGGATTGTTCTCATATTCGCCACTGTCAAACCTCACTAACTTATGCCTATATTTGTACACATGTCGCTGTTTTAGTCATTTCTGATTATTATTATTATTATTATTATTATTATTATTATTTGAGGAAGAACAGAAACTCTAGGGGATGTTTGTTACTTGCTGTTGTTATTGTTGTTATTGTTATCATTATCATTATTGGTTTATTTCTTTTTTCAAGAATTTCACAGTAGTCTTTCATTTTTTTGATGATTTATTGTCATCATTGCCGTCACCAGCATCATCATCGCTATCGTTATCGTTACCGTCGTCATAATTTGTTTTTTGTTTCCCCTTCCCCTCCGGCCAACCCCCAACCTTCGCCGACTAAGATTCTATTCTTCTACACACACACACACACTGATTTTACAGAATCAGTACTGTTATTTTTGTGTCATTATCGTTCATCTAGAAGCCATCTATCTATCTATGCGTGTATGTATGTGTGTGTGTGTATTTCTGTTTCTTATGCCCATGTTCTGCCAACTCTCTTCTTCACTTCATTACCGCTAGGGTCTCACTTAATTCACCTTAGCTTCTCATACCGTTTAGCTTTCCTTTCCCATACCATACCATGCTCTCAGGTCATATTTACATGTTATTTTTCAGCATATTACATCATCTCAATTTCATGATACTTTCATCGTCATTTCTGCCTTTCCCTTTCTCTGTCTCTGTCTCTCTCCCCTCTCTTTGAGTACTAATTTTGACGGATATATTATTATAAGTTTTGTTAGATGATGATAGGCAAGCAACCAAATAACCCCTGCCATGTTTATTGTCTATTTCTCTCTCTCTCTCTCCGCGCCTCCTCCCCCGCACACGCCATCTACTGAATATATATTAGCCGAATTCTCCCACTCCCCTTCTCACAAGTGATTTGTTTTTATGGAAACTATTATTTTACTTTAAATTGTTTGTGTGTGTGTGTGTACGTGTATGTGGTTTGTGAACACCACCACCGTCACCACCACCACCTAACTAGCAGCAATAAAAATGATTCAAAGAGAACAGATGAGATGATTATATAAATTATATATTGTATTACAGTTTCAATCTCTCTCTCTATTATTATTATCATTATCAGTTGTTGTTGTTGTTTACTTACACACTGTGTCTCTTCTCTCTTTTCTGTGTTTGTGACTGTGGACGCTGCTTTGTATACTATTTTTCCACTCTATTTTGTTCATAAAATTATTGTTGTTATTTATACACATGAGTTTATATATATATATATATATATATATATATATATATATATTTCCCAGTATTGTTGTTGTTGCTACCATGTTTATCTACAGTTCTTTCTTTCTTTCTTTTGGTTCCTTTCTTCTCTGATGTGTGTTGCAATAACTTCGCACTGACTCACTCACTCACCCCACCCACCCCTACACACACACACTCACAAAACATAGATCAAGTCTAATCATCATCATCATCACCACCACCCTAAAGCGAAGTACACATGTAATGTAATGATGCGCCTATATTCATTTATTTATTTTTTCATTATTCGAATATCTTCCTGTCTTTGTTTGTTTGTTTGTTTGTTTCGTTTCATTTCTTCTGGATGACATAATTCATAAATTTCAGATTTATACTATTATTACTACTACTATTACTATTATCATTATTGTATTGACGCTTACTGTTGTTTTTTTACAAACCTTTCCAGATTCATTGATTTCCTTGTTTCCTTGCTCTATCACCACCACCTCGTTGTAGAAGAGAGTTAATTAAAGATTTTATCACTAACTTTTATTGGGTATTATGATTATTATGATTGTTATTGTTGTTTTGTGTTTAATTTCAAATTGTGAGCGCCTATTTCCAAGCTTGCGTGCGTGCGTGCGTCGTACCTACGTATATTCGTATGTGTGTATGTGTGTGTGGTTGCAATCATGGTGATCGGGATTATTTAGGTGGACATGTTGAACAAGTTCTTTCCTTATTTCTTTATTTTCTACTTATGCTATTATTATTATTATTACTATTATTATTCACATATTGATTTATGCAAACAGACACACACGTACACATACACATACAGACTCACAAAGTGAAATGAGTTGTCCTCAGTGTTGTTGTTCTTGTTGCTGCTGCTGCCGCTGTTGTTGCTCTGTGTCCTTTCACCCTGTTGTATTTTTTTGTTGTTTGCATATGTATGTATACAGAGGGGAGAACAATACTCATGTATGTACCTGGTGTTTATGATTTTTAAATTATTATTATCATTATTATTATTGCTATTATTACTCTTTACCCCAGTAGTTTATCTGAAATGAGAGAAGTCTATGAAGACCGGGAATGGGAAATTGCCAAGAAGAGGGGGGGGGGGGAAGCAACACATACTATTACTAATGTACTACACATGCACACACTCACATAGGCGGAAGATACAGGTGAACTATGTTTGACATAATGCAATGCACAATGGTTATTATTAGTGTTATTATTACTATTATTATTATTGTTACTATGATTATTTACTTTCATCAGTTATAATGTGTAGTCATCAATGATGTTGACGACAGACATAAATATGTCAAAAGTTCCTTTAATTCCTCTGCTATTGTTCTTTCTGTATTGAGAACTTGTGGTTTTTGGTGTCGTTAACGTCGTCCTCATTGTTGATACTTGTGTTGTTGTTGGTGCTGTTGTTGTGTTTTTCGGCTTCTATCTCTCTCTCCCTCCTTCTATGCTTCCTTTCTGAGATTCATTTGCTATTTTGTCTGTTTGTTTGTTCGTTTTCAAAAAGAGAAGAAGAAGAAGAGGTACAACATTAGCAGCAAGAACAACAACTACTATTATTATTATTATTACTACTACTACTACTATTGTTAATCTTTCATTAATTCATTCATGCTCATATTCAGCAGATAACCAAAGTTTCTTTTGTCGTTTCGTTGGTGTGTGTGTGTGTTCTTGCTCTTTTCTGGTGTGTGTGTGTGTTAATCGTCATAATTACTTTTATATTGTCAATGTGTTGTTGTCAGTTTTGCATCAAATGATTTCTCTATTCTCTGTCCTCTCACACACACACACACACTCTCTGTCTGTCTATCCCTTTGTCTGTCTCTTTATCTATCTCCTTGTCTGTCATTTTCTCTGTTTATAAATCATGGTCATTGTGATCCACAGTCACTGATCCCCATGATATCTATACCCCCGCATATAGTGGTGCGTGGGTGGGTGGACGGGTGGTGGACCACTCTCGGTGGCAAAATGTGAGTACTTTGAAACAAAACAACAAAACAAGAACTTTATAAACCAGAGCGAGATTGTCGGTGGTTTGGAGGACGAGGGGCGAGGGATAGACAGACAGACAGACCAGATTGAGATTGAGATCGTGAGTGAGTCAATGACTGATTGAGTAGGAAATACACCCATCCACCCACCCATTCATCTGACTAAAACTTTCCAACTACAACAACAACACCACCACCACCACCAACAATATTGATAATGATAATAATCATACATTAAAATAACAAGTTAAAACAAATAAATAAATAAATAAATAATTATTACTATTTATTGTTATTATTACTATTGTTATTGTGTTATTATGCACTATATATATATATTTACATAGCATCATTTATATATTCTCTTTAAAATATCTAATCAGCAAGATTTAAAAAAAAAACACACACAAAGTTTTCCTAGATGGTTACTGTATTACTACTATTATTACTACTATTGTTACTATTACTATTGTTACTACTTATTTTCTCTAATAGGATTTTTTTCATTGATGAATACATTCTGTCATTAGACATTTCAATAAATAAATAAATTGAAAAAACACAATAAAAACTGCAAAAAAATAACAACATTTTCAAACATAATGCTTGTTGTTGTTGTTGTTCTTATTGTCTTTTTGGAGATGTAGCTTATTGGGTTTGGTTAAGCACTCGGTTTTGTAGTCAGTGAGTCATGGGATTCGAGTCCCAATTCAGCTATTTCATGAACTGGCCAACTGGGTAGTGTAATCAGGCCGCATACGATAAATGTTGCGGTTGTTAGTCTGATATATGGAGAATCTGTCCAAATTGAGAGGTTTGATAAGATGAAGTGCTCATAAAGGGTTGTGTTAATTTGTAATGAGGTTTATTGATTTCAAATATGAGCATTGATTGACAACCCGAAGAGTTTTGGTGTGAGCTGTGTTTCGTCCTTACTGTTTGGGACTCTTCAGGAGTACCCAACAAACAAGGATCTCGTTGATCATTCATAACCATTGGGAAAGAATTCAATGGCCAGCTGATAAATTCTAACTTCTTTCCAAGTTGTGGAGCATGTAACGCAACTGTCAGACAATGTCATCGGGCGAGTATGTGTCCTCTCACTCGACTTGATGAAGGATACCACTGGTTACGGCTTATCACTGGAACTCTAGGTGACTTTCACCTTGTAATCAGTTAACTAGTAAATATTTGAGCAATTTGCACAAAAATTCGTTTTGTGGTTATAGTTTTTTGGAAAAAGAGTGGTAAACGGAGGTTTCTCATTCATTGTGATTGAATGTTAAGAAATTAATCTAAGTATCAAAAAATGTGTCAGTTTTTACAGTATAGCAAAACAAAGAAGGGAAGGTGGAATTATGTTACAATTCTGAGTGTTAGTACTGAAGTACGCTAGCTTAGCTTTACAGTAGGGTTCAGATCAAGCCTTTTCAACCCGTTTATATATTTGGAAAAATAGTTTGGTATAATTAATGGATTTACCCAATCAGGTACACGCTAACGAACCCATTGGCTGATTGCACTGATCAAGGCACTCTACTCGAACTCATGCAGTCAACCAGGTGAGGGCTTATGGCGAGTTGTCATCTGAAGTGATGACAATTAGTGGTGTCCATCAGGGATGCCCACTATCCCCATTTCTTTCCAATTTCATCATAGATGTACTAATGGATTTAACACTAACTCACTTCAGAGACTCAGGGATTGACTTGCTACCAGGGAAGAATCTTGTTGACTTAGAATATGCAGATGATAAAGTCCTGTCTCCTAGGTGAAGACGCTGACAAAATTCAGAGTCTTCTGAACACCCTGAGCTGCAATCTACGAATGTTTAGCATGCGAATAGCTCCTATCAAATGTTAGATGGTCAGGCCACAGGACTGGACTACTTTGACTTAGCTTAGAAATAGGAAGTGAAGTGGTAGAGCGTGTTGACCACTTCACTTATTTGGGAAGCTGCATCAGCCATCGCCAGCGGGTTGATCACCGACGAAATCTCAGCACGGATACAGAAAGCTAGTTTCGTGTATGCCAGTTTACGCCGTCTCTGGCGTAGACGTGATATCCGACTATCGACCAAAGGGCATGTGTAATGTTCAGTAGTTCGCTTCGCCCTCATTTATGGCTGTGACACCTGGCCATTGAGAGTGGAAAAAACGAAAAGACTAGTTGTCTGCCTGCGTTCTATCTCCTGTATGAGGTGGTATATTAGGGTGAGCAATATTGAGGTATGCATCGTTCGTGTGCTTGGTATGGAGGAGAAATCAATCGACGAAGCTGCGAAGCTACGTCGACTTAGCTGGTTAGGACATGTGGTACGCCTGCCTAGCCATCGCCTTCCTCGACGGGCAATGTTAGCTGATATAGGGTCAGGCTGGAAAAGAGTTGGCGGCGGTCAAACCAAAACATGGCACCAGTCAATGAAATCCACAACAGTCAGTTTAGACCACGTAGGAATGTGTGGGCTTCCTGACTGGTTGGGGTCCTCGGGATGTTAGGAACCAATGACGGCTGCAGATAATTGGTTGTATGACTCAAAATCGTTCTCAATGGCTGGCACAGATGCATCCTCTCCTTGTGTTTGATAATTTCCAATGAAACTGCATTGTTCTTCGTTATTACTATTCCTTTGTCTCATATCCTTGTCTTCTGTCTCTATTATACATTTCTTCTCTTGCTTTGTGTGCTACATGGATGGAGAGTGGCGACTTGAACTGCTGCACATCGGTGCAAAGTTCTATGTCGAAAATAGACAGACAGACACATTATTGATCGGTGTTAAAAAAGAACAGTACTCATGTTCAGGCCAAACCAGTTAGGCTGAACGTTATGAGGATATCTATCTGTCTGTAGCCTCAGAAGTATTATGCTTTCTACCTTCGATGGTTCTAACGGTGTACAGTACGATTAAATACTTGATTGTCTCAATGAATTTAGTAAGGATAGATATTTTTATTCAAGTTTGACACTTACCTTCAAGTGTTGGGCTGTAAGAATTTGGTAACTCGAAACTTCGAGGTAATAGGGTAGTTGTGATGCGCTGTGACGAATACTTCTCCAACTGGTAATGATTCGTGATGAGATATGCCTTGAAACAAATAGGCATCTCATTTCGACGCCAGAAATTTCTAAAAAATCAAGACACTGAAATCTTGAGTCACTATTATTATTTTTCCCTTAAGTCCCGAGGGGAACATAAGACTTCTCCAGAACACCTCCACTTTGTCCTGTTGTCCTTGGTCTTCTTCAGCGGACCACATGATTGCCCATTGTCCCTCACTTTATGCTCATGCGATCTCCATGTGTCACCGTCGAACCAATACCCAACTCATCATTTTCCATTCTGGTTCCACTTGGACGACGGTGTAGCGCGCGAAATCATTCGACAGTTTCCTCAAAGTGTGTCTGCTCCATCTCCATTTTCTTCCATAGATTCGTTGAGCAATAGATTCTTGATCTGTTCGTTCCCAGAGTTTTTTGTTTGTTACTGATCACATTTATGGCCTGCGATCATCTGATGTTGAGTATGAAATCAGAAGAGGCAGGTGTTGGCAAATGTCTGCAGTATTAGCCTGTTGTGTGACGCGCTAGCCATGTTTCTGACGCGCATACACAAGAAGTGGATTAACTTAACATTGGTCTTCAAAGTCTGGATACTGATAGATTTTATCAGTAGCACACGTCACAAAATGGCTACTACACGTGGATTGCATAATGCTTAATTTTGGAAAAATGAAGTCCCAGCCCTAGGAAGTTTAAACCACCTTTATACTTTCAAAACAACAGTTCGTCGTCACACTAAACCTTGATCATGGATTGATATCAGTTAGAGAAGCATTGAAAACCAACACTGGAGTACTGTCAGACAGCTGTTTCGTCCTGGTTTGGGAATCATCGGCAGTACGCACACAGCCACCTGCCAGGGTTCGAACCCAGGACCATCCTGTTACAAGGCGACAAGCTAACTCGTATACCATTCAGGTATTGGGATCCGATTCAATGGCCAGTACATGAATTCTAACTTCTACCAATTCGTGATGCATTTAGCGCGACTGGCACCAACCAATGTCATCAGTGGGCCATCTATTCTCACACTTGACTGAATGGACCCCAATGGTCACAACTTCTCACTAAAAGTTCAGGAAACTTCTTCCTGTAGCAAGTCACTAGCGAGCATCAGATTAATTTTCTATAGTTGGTTTGTAAAGATTAGTTAGGTTTTTACGAGTTGATCACGGATTGATATCAGTAGATGTACTGTTACCGAAAATGCCCATTGAGTCATGAAGAAAATAAAACACAGATTCAGCGAAGACAATTTTCTTTATCGACGAAATCATCTTCACAGGCTGTACAGTCGTATTCATACTTACACAAATATATAGTGGTCTATTATTGAGTAATAGGGGGTGACGTAATTGATATAATTACTCAGAAGTGGCTTTAGAAGTGAAAATTAAAAGTTGTAAATTACGTGGTACTCAACGGCACAAAGATAGAAATTTGATAAGGTTAAAATTGCTATTTAGTCAGAATAAAGGTATCTGAGTGTCAATTTAACAAGTGTGAAGAGGGTATAAAAATATACAAAAGGAGCATCTGAAAGTGATAATAGTGAATTAATTATTAAAGCAAAAGCAAACTAAAAGTAAGATTAAAAATTACAAAAAAGAAAAGAAAAAAATCAAAATTTCTTTTAGCAGGGAACGATTAGTGAAGAGGTTAAGACCAAGGTAGAATTAGAGACTTGACAAACTTTTTCTGTATACATAGCTCAGGGTTGTATTGATGAATTGCCAGCGCCTTCGCCATACACAAAAACCGATACCTGACGCTCTTTGTACCATTTGACTTCACTTTGTAGATGATCTTGAAAGGCAACTCCGGTTGAGCTACGTGGCCTGAGTTCACCAAATGCTCGAAAATTGAGCTAGTAATTGTCTTGCAAACCATGCCGGATAATGTTCAGAGATGCGTTTTGAAATCGTGCGCTTTGTGCGACCAATATAACTAGCTCCACACGAGTAGGTGAATTTATCAACACACATTGAGGTGGCCCAAAGCGGTAGTTTATCCTTCACACATCCGTTGATCATTTGTCGACTGTAGAAATTCAAATGTAGCGTCTCCCATATATCTCCGCAAGACTGTATTATTTCCGTCCTCTGACACCAAATCTATCTCTCTGCTGTTTGATGTTTTTTATGCCGATGGACATCTCCTTATATGTACTACTGATAAGATTTATCAGTAGTACACGTCACACTGTTACTGATAATGGTGATAATCGTAATTTTTTATGTATATATTTTTGATTCCTTTACGTTCCCAGTGGAACATAGGGCGCCTTCAAGCTAGAGGCTTGAAGTTTCTTTACCAGTGGCGTTTATTTTTACAGGATGGGGTTACTAGCCTCATGTCCACCCTTCCCCATTTACCAGTCTTATTACTGGCTTAACGAGGTAAAGGAGGAGTGCGTCTGTGACCGGGGATCGAACCCCGAACCACATGAGGCGTGGTCGGCGAGCACCCTACCGCTATGCCACTGACGCACAGATAATCGTATTAACATTAATGAATGATCTTTGCATTATTCATTTTGT